ACTTCAAATCACTGACTGTACACTTAAAAATTGTAAAGATGGTGAATTTCATGTATATTTTACAACTTAAAAAAAAAACCCATGTCCACTATAGAATTTTTAAAAAGATATGAAGTTGGCCAATCTGTTTCTAAAAAAATTTTCTCCATTTACCCTTTAGGGACTTTCTTCTGAACATCTTCCTTCTAGACACTGCTGAAATCATGCTGATTCTTCAGTGCTCCACCTTGGTTTGTTTCCCCTCATACCAGGTGGCTCTTGAAACTTCCTAATTCCCCACTCTGGTCAGACACCTGTTCAGAGCCCTCCGTAAGGTCAGGAAGCCTGTAAGCCAGTTGTGCTAAAAGCTGTTGATGTATGTGTTAATTCAAGAAAGGCATTTTGAAAAGGGGACATTGGAAAATGTGTTTTTAACTAAATGTCAATCAACTCAGCAGCTTTCATTGGATAGTTATCTCTTGGGTTTCCATATAGAACTGGATATAACTGTGATCACTAAGTCAAATCATCAGCTAAGAGTCCTTTTACCATTTATCTGCAAAAGTAACATTCTTATAGCACAAGAGCCATTTGTCACATAGGCAACATAGGATGTTACTTGGATGGCATTTATACCCATGTGGGGAGATAAGAGTTACAGTTAACTCCATTGCTTGCAATCTCACATGCTTTTTTAAAAACATTTATTTTATTGATGTATAGTTGATTTACAATGTTATGTTAATTTCTGCTGTACAGCAAAGTGATTCAGTATACATATATGTGTGTGTATGTGTATATATATATATATATATATGCATATATATTCTTTTTCATATTCTTTTCCCTTATGGTTAATCACAGGATATTGAATATAGTTCCCTGTGCTATACAGTAAGACCTTGTTGTTATCCGTCCTATATATAATAGTTTGCATCTGCTAACTGCAAACTCCCAATCCATCCTTCGCCTCACCTGCTCTTGATTGCACTTTTCCTCAGGTCATAATTCTACAAGTTCTGAGCAACTCAATTACAATAGTTGGACAGCCAGATACAGTGCAAGGAGCATAACTCTGCAGCCCAGATGGTCCACCTGATAGACCTACCTTCCAGTTCTATTTGTGCCACCCACCAGTCATGTGACCTCCGGAAGTCACTTAAACTATACAATAGGACTAATAATACCAGCTCTCAGGGATGTGATCATTAAATGAGGTCATATAGGGTAAGCTCCTGGCTCATTATATGTCTGCAAATGTTACTTTCCTTCCTCTTCCTCCTCTGGCATGCTCTCTCCCTTTAGAGCTGACTCCAAAGCTACCACGTAAATCAAAGCAAGACTGCAAGACATTCCCATTGCTCACCTCACTTCAGTGGTACCCACTGTCTCCACCCAGCTGACACTGCTGAGGTCAGACGAGTGAAACTACAACAATAAAGGCTTCACACAGAGAGAAGGAGCATGAATGAATATTCACACTCTGCACAGACAGAAAGAAAATGTTCCCTTGTCTATTCTTAGAAACCAATTCTTGAGCCAAGCCTTGTAACAATGCATATTGCCGAAAGGGGTAATAGTATGTGGTAGTAGATTTTATTGAGAAGAGGGGTGGGTCCTCAAAACTTGGAAAATGCACTTGTCATTTGTAAAACTCTAAATGCAAATTTAAAAAATGATGTGTTAGACCACTTTTTTTTTCAGAGCCCTTTCTAGTGTCTCCCCTACCTCCACCCCCTGCTGTTCCCATAACTGATGTAGAAGTAATTTCATGAGCCAAATAGCAGAGCTTTGCAGGTGTGTGTTTGGCATTAATTTTAATTTCTGTTCACATACATGTTATTACTGCCCACTCTCATGAAATAGCTTATTCAACCAAAACATATATTCTAATGAAAGCCATATTTTGGGGGAATACATGAATCCATCTAAGAATAAGTGATTAAATCATCTGTCATTTACTGATGAAAATTTCACAGAGGCATTTGAATTTCTCCAGGGTTTATCTTTACTGGAAACTGGGGTAAGGCAGGATATGGGGAGCAGCATGTTAAATCAATTGGTCATCCCCAATAATCTTCCCTGTTGTGCATTGTGCCTACACATTCTACATTACCGCCATCTTTCCCAACTTTCACTTGTGCTGTCTCAAGTTTGCACAATGCTAAATGTTTCTTAAATGACTAACTGATACGATCAGATGAAATTATTTAGATTTTTGGACTGCTTTCACAGTAACTCAGTTATGATGCAGTAGGGTGTTTAAGAAACAGCCGGGAAGTTGCTGCAAATTCAGCTTTACACAGAACAATTCTTCCAAATGAACACTTTCAAACACTGGACTATCTTCCTTCAATAACAAGCACCACCACCAGCAATAAAAACAACAACCAGAAGCTGTTTTCCTTCTTTTGTGTTTCTGATCTCTGTGGACTACACTGCATCTTCCAAATTTCCCAAACCAGAAACATAGAAGGCAGGCTGGATTTACCTGAGAAGCAGTAATGATTGCTAAGTCCTCATTCTTCTTAGCATCTTAATCTTTTTGAGTCTGTGTACGTCCATATTCACGGCCATCCCCTAATTCAGGAATAGATCAATAACTCTGGGATCCTCTTAGATCCCTTACCTCTAATGGATTGCCAGAGAAACAGTTATCAAGCATAAATCCAGACGCATAAATCCTTTGTTTATAAACGGTTCGTTGAATACTACTTATCCCAGGATAAAATCAAAATTGATTCACGGTGTATTGGAACACTTCATGATCTGGCCCTTGTTTATTTTCCAGCCTCATTTCTTACTATTTCCCATCTTTACTCTGTGCCTCAGAAACAGGAATTATTTGCAGCTCCTTGACCACATCATTCTACTTTTCTCTCTCTTACCTAGAGTCTCACATATATATTTTCCACTTTATCTGGGTGTTTCCCATCCCCTTTTCCCTGGCCTTCTCCATTTCGCCAGTGGAGTTCCAGCTTGGAAATCATCTTGTCCAGGAATTCTCCCTTTGTGGGCTGGTCAGGTGCATATGCAAGTTACTGGCCACGTACCATGTGTTTACCCATCGTGGTGCCTTTCACACACTGTCTTCACACCTTCCGCCACCGAACCGAGGGTCAGGAGTGTGCTGAGTTCACGGTCAGCCCTACCAGCTGTGGTAGGAGACTGACTTGATGGCTCTTCCACCGCCTCCGATATATGCTCTCATTCAAATCTTTGTATTTCCCGGAAGGCTCCCCAGAGAACTAGATTGACATCATCATCGCAGCTCCCAGGCACAAAACTCCAAGACTTCATGACTACAAAGGACAATACAGTGCCCTTTAGCTGTAGAGACAGTGCCCTTTAGCTGTAGAGACAGTGTCCGCACAAGCCCCAATCAAAAAGTATTTCATGGGGAGGGAAAATGAGCATCTGGCTTGTATATATCTGCTTTGTCAGAGATTTCTTAGCACATTATGTCTCCACATTTTTCAAACTCTGTGCTAACACAATCCTGGAAGATCCTCTGGAGGAGAGTCAGGCATTTAAAGTCAGAGCTTGGAATTATTTTTGCTGTGTGCAAACACCTTTCTTGGCCAGAGTACATCCCCAGAATTGACTTTGGCCTGGTTAGATTTGAGAGGGCTTTGAGAAGTGACCAGTGAATGAGAATATATGTATCACTACATCCAATAACTGATTTTTTATAAATAAATGCAAACCATGCACAGATATTAAACAATGGTTACCTTTTGCTACCTAAGGAAAATCATACACTTCTCTTTCTTTCATTTTTTTGTTTCTGGGATTCAGAATCATGAACCACAGAGTCTGCATAGATCTGATTTTTACATAATATTTTGTGGCTTTAAGTAATTTAAATCAACTAAATCTACTGATGTTGCATATTATTTTTTTAAAGAAAAGAGTAAAAGGAAGAGGAAGAAATCATTGATTCATTATGAACTTATTTTTTTTCCTCATGTATAACTTTCCAGCTCATGTATAACTTTTTTCCAAATACACCTATGCTTATGTCTCTTTATTTTCATGAATTATTAGGTCAGTAAACACTCCAGCTAAGTTGTAAAAATTTACATTGGTCCCATCTAAACTTACCTGTATGTTTTCTTTTTCTTCTTTTTTAAAAAATCTAACTCTACCGTTTTAAATTCTTTAATTCCAAACCATGATCATATAGATGTTTTCCTATGGTTTATGCATTCACTCAACAAATGTTTTTTGAGTACCTATTATATGCCAGACACTTTCTTAGATACTGGTTATACAGAAGTTAAGAAAACAAAACAAAACAAATCCCTGCCTTCACAGAACATACATTCTATTAGGTGAGTCATCTAATACAAAAGATAAATAAAATATGTGTCATGTTGGATAACTATAAGTATAAGGACTAAGTATTATTTAACAGTAAAGCAGGGAGATGACAGAAGTGTTGGATGAGCATGTGCAGTTTTAGAGATAAGGACCTACTCATCAATTTGGAGGGTGATGTTTTAAAAAGTTGTGAAAGAGCTTGGTCTGAAATTTCCCTTTGGTTTGCATTTGAACAACAGACTTGCAAGTAAATCAATACTATACACAAGATAATAAAGGAGCTGTTATATCTGTTTCAGAAAAACATTCCTTTATCACTCTTGGAAGCTACTTATAAACCATGTCCCATATTCATCTAAAGGGAACTTGCTTTAAATATTCCAAATGGTATTATTTTATCACTAATGATACATCTATCACTAATGTAGTCACTGTCACTAGTGACCACATTATGCATTATACTTTAATGTAACTACCTGTATGTAAAAAACTAGGTACTCACATCTTTTTCAGTACATCAGCCCACTTTTAGTCTTAATTAGTGACATTTTACTGTGTTGCAGCTCAGCTTGCCTTAACTGCAAACTATGCAATTTAGGCACAAACAAGGGAAGGTAAGAAGACAGCAAGAAGCCTAAATACAAATTTCACGTTATTTAGAATCAAGCTTAATACACACAACAGAAACTCTACGACATGGAGGGTGAAGAAAACGGAATCATTTCCAAAGGTATTTATTGAGAAATAGTAAAGATATACATATTTTTACAAGCTTTTAATATTAATTTACATTTCTTTAAATTATGTAGGCCCCAATAATCTATACTTTACTAATACGTAACAGAAACCCTTGACTTTGTTAGATTTCCATAATGCTACCATAGTTGGGAGTCAAAAATGCAACTTTGGCTCAAGATGCTTGTTTGTTTTTAAAAGAAATACTAAATGCCATATTCACTGAGAATGCAGGCTTGTCATAAACAAATGTGCATTAAAAAAAAAACCCCAAAAACCTTCATACTGAGCATGCTGTTGACACTATTTTGAATCTTAGCTCACCAGAGACTAAGGGAAAAAACATTTTTAGAGTGTTATTATCTACTTTTTGTGCACAAATTGCATGATCCTAAAATATTTTTTTGCCTCTGAATTTGATTTACAAATCTTTGCAGGGTGTAATGACTTCATCTTGTCTGTGACACTATTGTAGCTGGGCCACCTGTTTTGCTATTCTTCAGGTGCAACACGAGGTGGTGACCTGTCCCGGCGATATGACAAGTTTGTACATATAGGAACCAAAAACCCATGTCCGTGACAAAACATTTTCAGATTGGTTTATAATAAGGCACAATATCCTATATGTCAACAGAACATGGAAACTTCCAAAGGGGCTTTTTTGTTTGTTGGTTTATCTTTTGTTTTTAAGATCAGAAAGGAATAGGATCTTGGGTTCCTAAGCGGGGGAAGAGAAGCGTTCTAGCCTGAGCATGCTCAAAGTCACAGGACAAACTGTGATGTGGGCTCATTGGCCTGCACCACGGTGGTGCCAGACGAGCTGTTCTCCAACAACCTAGCATGTAGGTTTTAGGTTGGCAGCCTCTTCTGAACACATCGTCATCGGAGAAGAGGTCTGTGGGAAATAGCACTGCTGATGTAAAATCAGTGACTCTTCTCTTTGCCCTGTAAAGGGGTGTTCCTTTCTGTACCTGCAGGTTTAGCAGCATAAGAAGCCTTGCCTGTCTGATATGAAAAAAAGAGTGAAAAATTTCGATGTAATGCCAAAATTCTATCATTTAAAGAACCTGGCTCTACAGTAAAGATAATTTTGTTTTGTTCACAGTAATAAATATTTAAGGTTTTAGTGCACAAAATAGAATTATGTACTGATAATCAATGCAGCTCTTTAATTTTTTAAAACTACTATTTTCAAGCTAAAGGCCAATAGAAATGTAAGATTTATTCTTATTAAGTATTCCAACCTTAATCTATCTGCAAGAGTACTTGGTGCAGAGGTAGCCAAAAGCTACAAAATTTAAAGATTAAGATTAAGGTCTACGTGTGATGAAACCACAATCTTAAAATCTGCAAAATAGGGTCTCAATCTCTTTCTGCCCAATGTAAACATGGCCTTAGCGTACAGTAAAGAAATACAGGTTTATAGCTTGGAAAATAAAATCACATTTCCATAGCAAATGTTGTGATCAGTGTACAAAGCACCAATCTTTTGGGAGCCACCGAAGCCTCAGATGATGGATTATCGTGGACCAGCCTCTGGTTAGGAGCACTGCTTAGTAGCTGGATGGCAAGTTCCGCATTGTGACATTTTAAACACAGAACTGCAGGTGTAGTCACCATTAAAACACTCCTAGATCTTGAAGTCTTAAATTTCCACAAGGGAAATCATGTCATACGAAATGACAGGAGAACCTGTATCGTGTTCCTAACATGGGCTACACACCAAGAAAAAAAAAACATGCAAACACAACGATGACAGGCTCTCCTTGCAATGAATGAAGTCCATTGTGCAGTAAGTGGTACAGCCAGAAACTAAGGTACGCAGGTCTGTAATGGAGAGAAACTGGATGGATGTGTTAAGACAGAGAACCAGATACTATTTCACTGCTGTAACTTCAGTAACGCTGCCAAGATCTGGCTCACTTGTTCATTTATTTTATGATGATAGTCTAGGTAAAATTTTCATTGATTCACTTCTTTCCTTAGAAACCGTCTGGGGCATTCACCTTCCACTACCGATGACACTTCATTTTTGCAATGGCATTGGGAATAAATGCACTTAGCTTTATTTTAAGCCCTGTTCACCCAATGTGAATTTTAAGCCACGTTCATGCATATTCTAAGAAAGTTTGGGTGATATTTGCTTATGATTTTCATCAGAATATTTTCCTCTGTACAACTTAGACGTATCAACGAGTCAGACTCCAAACAGTATAGGTCATCATGAATATGGCTCTTAGTTTTCTCCAGTAAAACTGTAGAAAGGATATTCGAGGTTTCAACATACACTTCACTTTCTAAGTAAAGGTCCCACAGTCTTTCCCAAACCTTCTGCTTCTGGTTGGATGCACCAATAGTTGCCTCATACAATTATTGGAATTATTAAGAACCCAAATAAAACACAAGCTTTCCTTTATTATTATTGTTTTCTTATTGCAACAAATACTCAGTTTCTTGCTGACGCATTATGAAGCTTTGATAGCTTGAATTTTAAATTTGGTCATCTTAAGAATGATCACAAAGGTTTTTGTTTTTCATTATCTACAGAGATTTTAACCAAAGTTACATTGTAACACACAAATGCTGTCTTGTCTTTAAGGCACAACACATCAGTATGAACATTCTGTTTGCCAAACTTAAAAAAGAGACATGATTAGATTCCCATTTCCCCTCCCACTACCCTCCCCGACAAATGAAAGAAAAATTGCATCCACTTTCAAAGTCAGCTGCTAATAAAGTCACAGTAAATTACTTTCATCAATAATTTACACAAATTACAGGTCTAGATAGGACTGTCCTTACACAGTCTGAGTGCATTCCAATTCAGATTTTCTGGGCTAGGTAGGCTAAAGTCAGATTCAAACCTCAGGGCTGAGAAGATCTCCCATTTTGAGGAATGTTGTTGAACCTTGTCAGACGGAGCCTGTGTTGGTGCTTTGCCGGGGTGAGAGCTCTTTGCTAAAGCTGTTGCTTCCAGTTAGGACTCATTCGGTGTGTACCAGCAACCTCCACAGATTTTTTTTTAAAACCATTAAAGCGTTGTAAATATAAGACCATAGAGCTTCCTTTCTGTAGCACTAAAGTTTAATTCCATTCAGCAATCTGAATTCTTCATTCTGGAATTCTCATTCCAAATATGATTTCATCCTTTAAGACAATTTATATGTGTAAAGCCAGAGGCATTGAATCACACATAAAAATTCAGTGTACTTGAAATATAAAAAAAAAAACAAAAAACAAAAAAAACGGATCTCCAGCTAGAGAACACAGTTACAAATACTCTAATTCCAGTGCTTGATGTAGAGCCAAGAGGTCTGAATGACTTGATATCCTCCAAAAGGGCATATTGTGCTGTGTGGTTAAGAGGGGGAGGGATGGGAGAGAGAAGGGGAAGGGATGGAGAGAGAGCATAACTATTATCTCAGTGAAGCAGCGGTCCGCACAAGGAAGTGTAGTTCACCCAAGTTCAAGGGAGGGAGTTTAAGGGAGGGACGATCATATTTGAAGGTTTGGTAGCATCAATGTGGTATTGTCAAAATAATAGAGAAATAGATCTGAACTGGATTTTAATGATAATAAAAGAAAGTAATGAGATTTCTTAAGTAGCTTAATATTTATTTTGGAAAGTATCATTACTAATCTCAGCATCCGGGAAAGCAAGCTGAGCGTCAAAATCCTACGTGGCTGGAGGAAAACAAATTTTACTTACTACGTCACTCCTTAAGGTCCATCTCTCAGAAAAAATGATAAACTTCCTAAATCCAAGGCTTTTTGTCGATTTGAGAGGAAGAGGGTGAATTCCTTTCTACATTAAAATATAATTTGAAGCTGGACTATATAAGGTAGAAGAAAATGTGGGGATGATCAAGTTTCTTACTTGTCTGGGGGAAGTAATAATTTAAGCCAGCAGAGTTGACCTGATTTATTTCCTTGGGGTGGGATTGAGGGAAAGCACTCCAGCATGCATGCTCAAGGGGGAGATATCACCCCCTTAAGGGGACAAAAATGAGTTTTTGTGGGGAAAAAATTCTTAGATATTACAATGGTTTGTGGCTCTCCAAAGCTATACCAGTAATGGTATATGCGTGGTATTAAAATTTCATGAAGGGTTGTAATTAGGAAAAAAAATGTCTAAAAATACTTCATTGTGGACAATAATGAAAAAAAGGAAATAATGCACTGTAGCAATTAACAAAACCAAAGCTTTATTTGTAAGTTTGGGCTGATCACATCTTGTAGAATATATATTTGCATGTAAAATGGAAATATATGTATATTATATGTAACATGGAAAAGACAATTTATTATAAAAATGAATAATTAAAATAATAATCTCTATTGTTATATAGTTTTTTACTGCCCAATATGGTAGCCACTAGCCCAATATGGTTATTGAGCTCTCAAAATGTGGCAAGTCCAGTTCAAAATACACACTGAATTTCGAAGACTTAGAATTGTTTTAAAAATGTAAATATCACATGAATAGTTTTTATACTTATTAGGTGTTTAGACAATAGTATTTTGAGTATATTGGTATATCATTAGAACTAATTCTACCTGTCTCTCTTTTTAATTTTTTTTAAACACAGCTTCCAAAAAATTTAAAATTACAAATATGGCTCACATCATATATTTCTATAGGGGAGTTCAGTTGTAAACTTTGAAATTTCTTCTTAGATTTACAAAACAAACTATGCTTTTGGGTCAAATTAAAGCACAAAATTCACCTAGGAGTAACTTTTTAAAAATTCAGCTCAGATCTATTTGTAATAGCAAAATAGTACTTTATATTTTTGCACATGCGATTACAGCTACATCCAAAGAAGAGCATGCATTCCGGATACTAGAGAAGCCAACCACCTGTGTTTCAAAATAGAATTATAAGCCTTCACCATCACCAACACTGTACCTACATAAACAACCATTTGGAAATAGCATTCTAACCAAGGTTCTTATCCACTTGGAGTCATGCCTTTTTCTCCTGAAGTTTTGGGTTTAAAGCCGAAGGTGTTAACAACTGGTATACCAAGTCTAGTTTTCACACCACGCATAAATGGGGTTGACTTTATAAATTTTAATTTTCAAAGGCATATACCATTTCTGGTTTGGAAAAGCGAATTTTATTAGTCCTGACCTAGATGTGTGTGAATTTCACATAGGCTAAAAGACATGTAAAATGCTTGCTATGGTGGCTGCACTGACTGCTCTTTGTTGTGTGTAATTATGGTGCCAATATGAAAAACTGAAACAACAAGGACTCAGGACACTGACAAACTCCAGAAGATATTTCAACTGTGTGCAACCGGAAGGATTTCAAGTGGTCGTCAGCTTGGGTCACTGACACTGCTAATTAAGACGGAGGGGCACTGCGGGAGGATGAGTCTGAAACAACTCTCTTAATGTTATGGAAAAGCATGGAATATTTCAAGTATGGCTTCCAACGCGTCACCAAACCTTCTAAAGTGGAAGCTCCTTCTTTTTCTCCATTTTGCTTGATTTGAATTGACCACAAACATAAATCATATCTTTTACCTTTCTAGTATCACTATAAAGTTTCCTAGGAAACTGTTTATGTTGTTTTTTTTCCGGGGGAGGGCGAGGGGGGACAGAAATCAGATAAACACTCCAGCACATCAAGTGTTTAGTGAAGGCTTTATCAGATGATTATTTGAAGTCTCCTCAGGATAATAAAGACAATATTCTTTCCTTGTAAAACAATATATGCTGACATGTCATTATTCAACAATACTTATTCATCATTTTGCTTTGTTTTATAAATTATATCACTTTAATCCTGGCTAGATGGTATTTTGCTATCAATCAGTGAAGGAAGCAGTAGATCTCAGTGTTGTGTTGATCGATAGTCTGGTATCTGGGGCCAACCTTGATATCATTCTCCTTTTGATGCTGGACCAACCAGTTAATGGTTTTTTAATTGCCTTGATTTTTTCAGAAATATGGGCCAGATGAAAAGGCTGATTTAAATACCTAGGGCCTATGAGATCTTCTGAATATATTCAAAGCCAGCTGCTTGGCTTCAATCAAGTACCAATGACTCACCAAAACAAATAACACTCTTCTAGAAGATGTAAGGGACATTGCCTCTAAGTCTCTATGACAAGTTAGCACAAAAGGATTTGAATAATATATCCCACTCCAATAGCATTTATTAACTTCTCTAGTAAGTTTTCTTCTTCATCTATTAAAGCTACCCTCAGATTTATCATCATGGCGCACAATTACTACTAGGCACTTGCAAGGACCATATGGCATAGAGGATGGATGGGAAAAGGGTAAGAACTGAACCACTCACATGGCTTTCTATGGAGCTCGTTAAGTGTCTTTAATCTTGTTGAACTTCATGTGCTCAAAAACGTTTTTTTTCCCCCCATCTTTCTTATATCTGTGTGTATTACACACACAAACACACATAAGCACACACACAAATAAATGTAACTAAATGTTCCTATATTTCCTATGAAGTTTCAGGCAAAAAAAATGCTAGACTCCAAATGGTTTATTTGAATGTAAGTACTGACCTTCTCATGCTCTTACTGCTTTGCATCTATAAATTTAAATCATTTGTCAAGCTGCCATTGGGCCAAACTACAGGAATGCAAACAAAAAAGCTTGCATTAGAAGGATCACACCAACATTGTTTGAAACAGGTTACCTTTTTTGCTGCCTGTTCTTCTTCTACACCATCCCCAATTACAACATATACTACTTTTCTGCCAAACCTTTGCATTATTCGTTCAAAGCAACTTTCTTTTCCTGGAAGATAAACAAGATAAAGTTCAGAGTGAAGTTACCTGGTTAGCGGCATGCTCCTCATCTCGGCCATCTCCAATCACAACATAAGTTATGTTAGTGCCAAATCTGGACACTATACGCTCAAAACAGCTTTCCTTGCCTGAAAAACAATGCACTGCTTATTCTTCCAGCCATTGCATTCATTAACCGAAAGATTCATAAAGTGTTAAGTTACTTTCTCTTGAACATCAATCACTTAAACTTGCTTGCAAACTCTGGGTTTATGAAATCAACAAATATGGTTGAATACTCTAAGTCTTTACTTAAGACAGATTATTAAATGAATGTATTTCACACTCCAAAAAAAGTCAGTAGGGCTAAGTATCTAATTGGAAAAAAAATTTATATCTCTTTTATATCTTTCAGTCCATCAAAAGGCTATAGGAACAACTTTACAAGCAACTATCAGTTTTTACATTTATTTGTGTAATTCTACATTTTATCTAGTTTGTTTTAATTAGTATAGACAAGTCAGCTAAAATTATTACTGTGAAAAACTGAAGGTTCACCTAGAACGAAAGAGGAAATACTAAGATATGGATTTATCTTGATAATTCCTTTCTTCAAGTGGCTGGGAGCTAGTCTGCTCAGATTAATTGTACTAAGGGTGCTGTTTGCTTGGGCCACAGCACTGGTGACACTAGTATCCTCTGATCGCACTATGGGAATAACACCACAGAATTTTTACATGTTCTTTGTTTTTACAACATTGGCATTATTCTCTGAATTTCATTCCCAGCATGTTCATTCAGCCATGGCTTCTTTTTCACTTTTTCTTACTCTGATAGTTCAGAACTCCAAAAAATACTAGCTTAAAGGGAAAAATAAAAATGATTTTTTTTTCAGATTAAAGATAAGGAACAATTTGGCCAATAAGAAAGACTGTTGTCCTTACTAGAGGAAATGTTTATGCTTGTGTAAAACTACTTGATTTGTCAAAAAGCAAAATCGGGTTCGATGTATTAATCCTGCTGGCATAAATATACTTACATAAAAAATGAATGGGATTGGTACCAGGGCTCTGAATGGCAGTGCTTAGGACAATGAGGAATTTACTTTATGAAAGCTTGCCTCTCTTTAACTATACTCCCCAAACAGCTGTAGCTGGGGGCTCTTTCTGCCTGTGCCAATATCAGAACTCTGCAAGGCCCAGGGCAGGTTATTTCTGGTAGGGGATTTTAGGATTCTGAACTCTTGTCAAGCCGCCAGAGCCAGTTTGTTGACCTTCAGGGCACATTGTACAACCCATCTATTTCCCCAGGCATTTCCTTGACAGACAACAGAATACATGAGTTATTTTCTTTTAACTCTTTCAAGATGGCGGAAGTTGATGAGCTTCGGTTTTTGAAAGTTTATTAGAAGTCTTAGAGCCTGTGAAAGGCACTTAAAGTCAAAGATGGCTTCACAGATAGCTATGATCTAAATAAACAAGGCTGTAGTTCTTTGATTGCTACTGAACGTTTCTGGAAATGTGGATTTCCAGCCATTCATATGTTATGAATGCTCCAATTATGTTTTCTGATTCATGAATTTTTTTTCCCCTGGAATTAAGGTTACTAGTTCAATCCATCTGACACTCCCTTATAATGCCAAAACAGTATTTTTATCTTAGATCTAGATTATTGCATATGCAAGGATGTAATACCATATACCATGTTAGGTAAAATATTAAATACTATGGCTAAAGGTACTGTATATTATTTAGGTAACATGTGCCATAATGAAATACAGATATAATATAAATGTATATGTATATATAAAGAGTCAGAGCTACCCAGATACCGAGTTCAGAATTTCATAGGCAACAGTTTTCATAAAGTTTGCACATGCTGAAAGAGTTGCAGGGGACTTTGTTATTTGAGCTCTATTCAAATTTGCTTGATATTCTTACAGCAAAATTGATGAAAGAGGGAATCATGTGGAGACACACATTAAGAAAATCCCCCAAAACACAGATACGAACATATTTCACACGGAGTTAGAAATAATTTTCTTACCTATTTTAGTTGCACTGTAAATATTCTCAATGGGAAAAGCACCTCCTAAACTATAGAGTAGAACCTTCGCAAGTGCTGGGATCAGCTGGGTTGTTGTTACCAAGACATTTACGCAGTTACTCCTAAGATGAGGAGGAAACAGGCATTTTTGTTTTCTAATACTAGATAATGTCTAACAGTACAAATTTTAAATTATCCTGCAGTCTTTCAATTCCATAATGAACAGTCCCTGACAATCTACCCTTTCAATATTCAACAGTTGTTTATGGTACCTATCACCTCGTAGGCGCAATGCCAGATGCCAGAAATACATCCCAAAATGAAGGAAGTGAAGGAAAATAAGTTTGCCCTCCTACCCAGATCACAAGCTAGACAGGGAGGGAGACAAGTAAATAGACCCCTGCGAATAAGAAATGTGTTCTATAACCAAGATCTCCTCAGGTCCCTGTGGAACCTCACAGGATACCTACCTCGGCCAGCGGCAATCATGGAAAGATTATTAAAGGGGGCATGGCTTACCTCTGAGTTTTACAAGTATGCACATCAGCAGTTTTCATAAAATTTGCACATATACAAAGAGTCACAAGGGGCTTTGTTATTTGAGGCAGGTAAGGTATTTTTTAGGGTGATAGGACTCCATGTCCCAGAGTTTTTAGAGCCTGGGAAAGTAGAGGACACAGGAAGGGAGGAGGTGATGGGATGTGTAAGAGGAGTTTTTAGATTTTGTGCAAGAAACAGCCCAGAAAGTCCCAATCAAGGTACTGACAAATGGTGCATCCTGAAGAAGTAAAAATAGAGAGGATTCTTATTTAGAACAGAAGGGGTTGAGTTCCTCAATCTCCTTCTAACAACCAAGGGCAAACTGCATTTAATGGGCCTTGTTTTAATCCATCTACTAAGGCCTTACCCTTTGAGAGTGAGAATCTCCCACTCTGCAACTTACATCTGTTTCTTTCACAGTAGACAGGATGGGGGGTGAGGGTGCAGCTGGGAAGGTGAGATAAAGGAAACACCAAGAGAGGGGAGACTGTTAGCCTGAGTCAGGGAAAAGAAGGGACTGTGGCCCTTCCTTCTGGATTACAGGGAAATTGAGCTGTCCCGCCTGGAGGGGCTCAAACCACACACCTGAAACTGGGAATCAGAAGGCATATAGCTATGCACCTTTCTCTACTAGATATTTTGTATCATGAGCCTTTAATACATATTTGTAAGGGCTGATACAATATTCTCTAGAATTCTGCAGACTGATTTTCAGAAAACTGGTCTCAAGGGCAACTTAGAAGGACAAGTTGAGTGCTAAACTCTCATAGGTATGTATATGCTTAGGCCCCAGTACTCTTCATATTATGCTTTATATTCTTTAGACATATCATGTGTAAAGAAGACTACAATTTATTTAAAAACAATTATAAAACCTTTATAATGATAGCCTTTTAAAACATTTTCATTTCTAAATTATCTCCATAGACCAAATGATGAGGTTATCAATTTATATGGGACAAAGAAACAAAGACTTCTAGAGGTAGAAGTTTAATAAGTATCATGAATACAATATTAAATTTTACAAATAAAAAGCTAGAAAGTGACTTGCCTTTGATCAGACAAAACTTCCCCAAATAATGGCAGACTACTAAGAATAATACACAAACACATTACTGTATTGTGACACAAGGTTCTACATCATATTTCATCCAAATAAGATGTTATTCAATGTCATATATAGATGAGTGTTACAGAATGAAAACACGGTGGAATAAAAGATAGCACGGGCTTTTTAAATTTATAGATGTGGTTTTGAAATCTACTAAATTACAAACATTGCATATATTTATATGCAATTTATAATGCATTGTAATTTTCAATTACAAACATTGCATACATTTATAAATTGCATATATAGACTTGTAAAATGCAGACGAATATAAAGAAGAAAATGAAAAGCACCAATTATTTAACCATCCGGAGATGATAACTGCTGTCCCCATTTTGTGCCTTTATTTTCAGATTTTCAGCTTGCATGTAGGTTGTTTTCCCATTAGGATCATACTGTATGTGTAATCTTACATCTTACTTTTTTCATTTGTTTTTATCATGAGCCTGTTTATATATGTCATATTGTCCATCATGCTCTCCCTCCAACAAAACATAATGTATGCAAACTACTCTATCTTGTGGCTGCACCACCATTTTTTAAAGTTAAGCTTAGTCACTTAGATGGTTTTGATTTCTCAGCATCGTAAACAATGCTACCTTCCATATAAAGTCTTCCTATGCATGTGATTATGTCCTTTGACTACGTTCCTAGAAGAGGAATTAGAGTCACGGGTACACACTTTGCCACAGGCTCTGATACATAATTCAGCAGTGTTTGGTGTAAACATCTGGTCTTCTGACAGAGTTTGTGAAATTTACCAATAAGGTAACAGATGTGGATAACTTGGCAGCTTTCATGATACTTAAAACTTCAATGTATAATGATTTATTTTTCCCCTTAATTTCCTTGTCATACGTTTATTTAGTTAGTTAGTTATTTATATCACATACCTGTGTGTTTAATAATAATCTATATATAATATACAATGGCTACACATAGATAATGTAATAATGTAACACATACAATGTAATGTAATACCCTTTGGTGTTTAACTATCTAGGAGACCTCTTTAAAAATAATGAAAGCACCTTCTACATTTTACACACGATTTTAGGGGCTGTTGTCCTCACATCCCAGCTTCCTTGCCCTTCGGTCTCCATGTCTCTGTGACTGCACAGAGCTCACAAGGCAGCAAGTCCCATTTTAAAACAGCTTTAATTGTTAGACAATTCTTCCCACATGGAGCCAGAACCTCCCTTCCCCAGCTTCCCACTCATTGGGACCAACTCTCTCCTGCATAGATGCAGAGAGAAATGTAATTTATTTCCAGCCCAGCATCTCAAGTAGTTGAAATTGGTAACCTTGTTCCATACACGGCTCTTCTTCAGATTAAACTCCTTGGTTCCTCCCTCTGACTGTTCCTTTTCTGTAGTTTCCACAGCCTAAACTCTTTTGGCCACTTTGCTGGACACAAGATGCTACAAATATGTCACAGCCCCTGCTGGAATGAGGTGCCCAGAACTGAGCAAAGTACTCCGTTCTGCTTCCCCAGCCTGACCCGGGAATCTACTGCCCCCTCCCCTCTCCATTTAGAGACTCTGCTATAAATGCAGTGGCTTGTCATGCCACATGCTTAAAAGCCATGTGAGGGATTTGGGACACACTCATTTACTTCCATGTTCTGATTAGACTCTCCTTTTACCCTGCTAAGGTTTCTCTGTATCTTGATTCAATCAGTCCAAATATTAGCTCTTCTCTGAATTTTGTGTTACCCACACATTTGCTAAGCATGATTTTATTTATTCATCCAACACAGAAATAAAACTAAGGAATAGGATAGAACAAAGATTCATTCCCACCCTACTAGCTATCATGTTCCAGATTTATATTATTAATTAGCATTTATGGCACATGGTACACAACTAGTTATGTCAATTCAGTTCTATTATCCACACTAACAAGTCAGCATTTCACCGTTTGAACTAAACAACACAGAGGTTACAAGTTTTTCAGGAGCTTTCTCTTGATTTTTTTGATGTGTTCAAACTACGTATATTCTCTATAATGGCATAAAAGACTTAAAAACATGCACTAATTGTATAAACAGTATTGTGTTTTTTGCCATCATCTTCTGTACTTTGTCACCAACAGAGTGCTTTTTTTAAATTTGAAAGTCAAATGACATTCCCATGGGGTTTATCAGGGGTCATGAGGAGAGAACAGTAAAGAGATGGATCTCCCAGTTATTCTGAGAAGCAGCAACCCCCATCCTCCATCCCAAAACACACACACACACACACACACACACACACACACACACACAGTGAATTTTAGGTCCCTTCAAACTCTAAAACAAATCTGGGAATTAAAACATTTTGATATATGCTATGCTATTAGAACTACATCTTCAATACAATAAATATAGAAACTGCAACAATACCACTTACCTAGTACTAATAATTGATAAAGATTTAAGTGCATTTGTTAGCCAGGAGTCCGTCAGACCTTCAATCTCAGCCCTCAACTGCAGCCACGCATCTCTCTTGGCAGGGCCAAGAAGTCCTGCAACACAGAAAAGTAGGGCAGCGTCAAGAGATGAACATTTTTCTGGGATGCCTAGTTTGGTCTTCCTTCTGTCTACTCCAGATGATTTTTATTCCCACCTATATCAAAAAGAGAGAGATTGATATCAACCCTGATCTTCCATTTCAGAATTGATTATCCATTGATTCATTCATTCCACAAACATTTATTGAACAACTTCTGCACATCACATTCTGGGCTAAAAATTAGGGATATAACAGTGAAAGTGTGGGTCCCAGTCTCTGCCCTCACTGATCCTAGAATCTGGCACGGTGAATGCCAATCACCTGAGGAGCTTTGACAACTACTCCAGAAGACTGACAGGATAGGTCTGGAGAAGAAGTAGGGGTCTACCAGCCTAGGGATACAAACCTCAAATATTTTGGTTGTCTGAAAATGTTTAGTTTCTTAATAATCACAACCATTACCACTTGGAAACAGTAATAATGACATTATCGCATATAGCTATAGAGTTTTCTAGAATTTGTTTCTAATACTAGTGCTAAAGCTGTCAGAAATACATTGTTTTGTACAAAGGAATTAAGAATTTTGTTTAAAATCCTGAAGCCTATGATACAGCTATAGACGATGGTTGAAAACTACATTGATGTTAGGATAAGAAAAGAAGTAGGCATACTAATTTTATTGAAAAAGCTGTTGCTTTCATGAGGAAACAAGATCATGTAAATCTATTAAAAAATAAAGTTCCTTAGTTAAATCATATTTCAGAATATTAAGAGTTCATTTATATGTGGATAACTTTTTTTAAAAAATAAATTAATTAATTTTTGGCTCTGTTGGGTCTTCGTTGCTGTGCACGGGCTTTTCTCTAGTTGCGGCGAGTGGGGGCTACTGTTTATTGTGGTGAACAGGCTTCTCATTGTGGTGGCTTCTCTTGCTGTGGAGCATGGGATCTAGGAGCGAGGGCTTCAGTAGTTGTGGCACGCGGGCTTCAGTAGTTGTGGCATGCGAGCTTCAGTAGTTGTGACTTGCGGGCTCTAGAGTGTAGGCTCAGTAGTTGTGGCGCAGGGGCTTAGTTGCTCCACGGCATGTGGGATCTTCCCAGACCAGGGCTCGAAACCATGTCCCCTACATTGGCAGGCGGATTCTTAACCACTGCGCCACCAGGGGAGTCCTTGGTGGATAAATTTTTAAACCAAAATTTATAGTTTCTACTGAGCCTCATTTGTCATTATTTCAATAAAGAGATATTAACATATCACAAAAAATGGATTAATATCTCATTGTTTAAACTTTTTAAGCTATACGATTATTTACTAGTAATCTTGTTAATTTTAAAATAATTTTAATAATACCCTTTAAGAGGGAAATAATAACATGCCTGAATGATAAAAGTTAATTCAGACTTCCCAAAGGGATATTTGTCTTAAAGTTAAAGTTATTACCCTCAATTGCTTTTAAATAGAATACCTATTTATTTGATTTTACAGAAATGTCTTGTATAGAGTGTTAGAGTGAATTACGAAACCTAAGTTGCCTGTCTAAACGCATGGGCAGGTTAGTAGCCTGCAGGAGACTATTTCTCATTTGGAAATAAAGATCTTCCATATCTAAGCTCCGGTTTGGTTCTAACATTATTACTGTCTATGGTTCTACATGTTTTGGTTCTCTTGTAGTTACTGAACATCTATTGAGCATCTATTATGTGCTTCAAGCTAGCTAGGCACTGGGATACAAGGCCAATAGACACACAGCCAACCTTAAGATGTGTATGGTGTAGTATATACCTTATAGATGAAAACTTTATTTACTATATTGTATTCTATGACATATATGTAAATATACACATGCATAGCATGCACAAATATATATTTAGCTGTCTTATTTCAATTTTAGATTCTGGTTTATACTCCTCAACCATCCCTCTTTTCTTTAAAAAGAGAAACAAACAAAAAGCCCCGAGAGAAGAATCTTAAGTGACCTCATAACTAATCCTACGATCTTGTTGCCCTAAAATTGATCCTAATAATAAAGACGATCAAGGTTTATTATACCAAGAAGCACATCCAAGATCTAAGTTTTGATGTCACAGGTTTTGATATCACCTGTAATATATGAATGAGTACAAAATGGTTTAGATACTACCTACAGAGTATTTGAATTTATAAAAACTATGATATAGTTAACACTATACATGGCAAAGATATACTGTCAGATAATATGCAGTTTTTGACAGGATAAAGTTAACTTGTTGAAGTCTTCAAAATGACATAAAGCACAGTTTGCATTTATTTTTGATAGCATTCCAGAAAGGTAATGATTGCTAACAATTCTGCTTCACTGACTAGGGCTCTTGTGTTTAGACAGATCTTCTTTCCACAGCCTGTATCAGTTCCTTTGTCTGGTTTTCACTGAAAGCGTCCCATTTGAGGAAGGGAAAAATAAATGTCCTGCTATTAATCTTTTTTTTAAAATTTTAATTCAATTTATTTTTTTATACAGCAGGTTCTTATTAGTTATCCATTTTATACACATCAGTGCATACATGTCAATCCCAATCTCCCAATTCATCCCCCCCCCCCGCTTCCCCCCTTGGTGTCCATACGTTTGTTCTCTACATCTGTGTCTCTATTTCTGCCCTGCAATTAATCTTGACCAAACATCTGGGCACAAAGAATTCCCAATTCCTTTGACAGTGCTGCACGTTTTATTTTGCAGTTAGATTTTTCTTCCCCCACTAACTCTAAGAAATTAAAATTTCTGGCTCACTGTCGTCCAGCATGAGCTCTTGGTAATTTATCTTACAGAAGGATAGTTCCTAATATGAAACTTGAAACTACAGTTTAAATTGTACCTCTATCTGCAGTACCTTTATTAAATTGTAAAAGCCACACATACCTCCCACATTGTTCTTGTAGGTGTTGTATAATTCTTTTACTCTTCTGTAACGAAAAGCCAACTTCCTCATCCAGTCAACCCCTCCTCTTACACCTGTTGGCAAACAAAGGTTTGCACTACTTGCAGCTGCATGGAAGCCATCAGTTGCAAAACTGTAGGTACTGCAACACCCAAAATACATTAAAAAGAAATAAAAGAAATAATTACATGTGCAAAACTTCACAGCTGAATTTCTGTAGGAAAGAGCATACTGAAAGGCATGGCTTACCTTAAGTCTTGCCCATTATCATCAGAGGAAACATCATCTATGTGAACTTGATCACACTCCTGTTAAAAACATTGGAAGAGCCGTTTTTCAAATGATGCTTGTCACCATGTTTGAAGCTTTTTCCATCTTTCCACCTGATCAGCCCATGGCCAGAAGAGGGCAGCATTTGCCCACCCATCCCACCCTCTCATGCTGGGAAATGGCACCGTTTCTACTCTGTAAGATCTAAATCCAGAAGAGGACCTTAAAAGGGGCCTGAAAACATATGGCATGTGAGTTTCTTTAGAGCAAATACAAAAATAATTTTAATCTTAAAATTATTGATAAGGAATTCTCTTGAATCTTTACAATAATCACTGGTGATCACTTTCCACCATTTCTGTTAAGCATACTTAAGTATGAAAGCAAAGCTAATCTGAAGATACTCAAAACTTGTTTGGGCTGAACACCCCAGTGGTTACTATTATTTATTATTTTTGGAGCAGCAACAGAGGGGCTTGATGATTATGGTGTTCTGTTAAATTTCTATGACTTCCTTTTTGCTGGGCCAGTGACACCATGAAAAGAATCATGCTAATGTTGTTTTAAAAGTCCTGGTCTTTCAACCAGCAAAAAGCTAATAACTATAGAAGCTGACACTTTTTGTGGTTGTTTTAAGTCTTTCAACTGAAAAGAATACTGAAAGTAAAAGGGAGTAATGAAGATTTACCAACTCCAATGTGCTACAAATTCAAAGGAAAATAAACTTTAGGTACATACGCCCACATACTTGACCTAAGTTATAGTGTACTCAGAACAAATGGTAACTTTTCTGGAAAAGAATTCATTTCTTCTTTGCTGTTCTAAGAGTCCTCTTCTATCTTCAAATAATCTGCATAGTTCCAGTGAAATAGTACATGATGTGAAGGTGGAATTTCGGTAGGGCGTTTCAATAACTAGTTTACTAACCTCTGGGCCTCACTTTTTCCCCTCAGATAATTACAGTCAAACTCACAGAGTCTGATTATATATATTAAGTGTTCATCATTCAAAATCAATTCTGAAAAATCATTAAATTTGAAAATAAGATGCCATATTAAAGACTTTTCAGCTACTATTTATAATCATTATAGGACTTGGAAGTATCTGATGGTGAAATATTTAATATTTTATCTCTAGCTTTCCACACTGAGTTTATTAGATCTTGTTGCAGTCTGAGGATAAATTAGTTGGCTTAGGTTTCTTTTAAAATATAAAACTTAGTGAGTAGCTCAATCAATACAATTTTAGTACATAACTTGAAAATCCAGGTAAACTAATTTTAAAGGTTCATATTATGTACATAAATTATAGGTTTAGTAATTTTTGAATAAATATATTCATAAGTAAGGAAGGTCCTCAAAAAGTTAATCTGACTGGAAGCTCCCTGAGGGGGGTGTTTGGGTCTCCCAGATATGCTATACCCACACTTAAGGCACTCTCTGGCAAGAAGTAACCACTCAACACTTCTTTGTTTGAATGAATGGCAGAACTCTAAACAAATGTAGTTCATGACAGAATTACCACAATCATTTAAATTTTCTAACATAAAGTTAGGTGATAAAAATAATAATATTCTAGATGGTAAGGACTGTAAGAAGATATTTATATTAAGATTGGAGGGGAAGGCAAGAGAACAGAGTATGGGCTGAGGCTACAGGAGAGGCATTTAGAGAGGTTCTTCCCCATTTTGACTGAGTGTTTGCTGAAAGGAGCACAGCCCAAACTTTAACCAAAGAAGGTATTATGCTTCCAGAAAATTCTCAGGGAAAAGTATTGCAAGCAACCATAGTAGCTCTTGGATTGGGTTCTAAAGGAAAGGGTGAAGAGATTTAACTAGTTAGTATGAAAGTTGAAAATAAAAGTTCTTCCAGAATACTGAGGCAGCAAAGTAGTTCTCGATGACAAGGATTATTTCTTGAGTTGGTGACGTTCTTGGTAAGGATGAAGACCAAATTAAACCACTATTGAAACAGAATCATGCGAAGCTTCTGATTCCACTGAGGTTCTGAAATCTTTTATCATGTAAAACATTTCCATAATTTTATAATAAACTAATGATATTAAAAAAGGGGGATCTTATGAATTACAAGTAATTTCTGTATTTAATATCCTCCCATCTAATTTTTATAGAAATTCCTCTGACATTTCAAGTATTAACTCATATGATTAATTTGTACATTTTGCCCCCAAATTTACTTTTTACTCCTGAGGACATCAGTATATCAAACTTATTGGACCGTGAGTTCCATATTTGAAGTTATATTTGAGGTTTTTCCAAATGGAACTTCTCTTTAAATTTATGTCTAGTTAACTATGCTTGTTGACTCTGGACCATTGCCCAAGGATTACAGTCCAGTGAAAGAAACCTGAACTTCAATCACTTACATTTTTAGAAAAATCTAAATAATTGTTCTTCAATTAGTGTTCACTCAGAGGAACTTTATAAGAAACATTTTGACAAAACACAAAATAGTAAAAACAGTGTCATGCTTTGGCTTTAACAAACTTCAGTGAAAGAACTCAAACATTTGGAATAATTCTGACACTAATCTTAAATTCTTTAATTTTGTCTTATAAGGTGACCGCAAAGTTGTCACTGATCTGTATCAGTTATAATCCATAGCAGTCTTCTCTCACTTTTGTTAGCCTAAACTCCCTGGTGCCTTCTCTTCTGGAAGTTATTTTAACTGAAATAACATTTTATTTAAACAGAGAGTATTCACTTCTTAGGGACAGTGGTGTGAGCATTTGCCGTCTCTGCAGTTGGACAGGATGTAGCGAAGTATCTATTAAGAGGATTTAAATTTGTATCTTTTAAGGAATTATGTGAGGGCAGCTGCTACTACATATGTTGCAGTATCTACTGAAGGATTTGAGTCTCAAATTAGATTTTTAGGTTAAGAAAAGAAACCCTGAGAGATTAAATACACAAGGGGAAATCACATAATAGGCTAATGAAGTTATTCTCTTGAGGAATTCTCTTTGTCAGTAGAAGCAGACATAGCTTAATACCAGTTATGAAGCTCATGACAATCTTTGCTTATAAGAGGTTTACTGAAATAAAAAACTGGGAGAAAGTAAAGTTTCAAAATCAGATACAGAAGTATAGTGGATATGTATGTAACTGTACTGAATGATCTTGAAAGCTATGGCTTAGATTTTATTAGTTTTACTGTTTGTTTATCTCACCTAAGTTAGTATAAACCTCTGAGTTTCCTTGGGCACCTGGATGTGTGTGCACATGGGTGTGTGCACATCTGAGAACTCAGTCAATTTATATGCAGAGACTAAATCATTTCATTGATCTAGTACATTATTGTTGGATACTAAGTTTTAGTGTTTGAGTAAAATGGAATTTTTATCACATTCTAAAGCACAACTAAAAAGCTATAATCATAGACGAGAAAGTCAATACCAATATTTTCTCAGTTACTATTTCTACCTGAGATCCTGTTGGGTATTTGAAAGATATATTTTATATAGTATCAAATCCAAAATAAAAATTCTTAAAGCACCATAGCTGACCACATGTTTCTGATATGCCAGTATTCACATCAAACTTTCTAAAGGTATATTCAAATTCATCATATGTTCTCACCTTAGTGTTCTGTTAGAAGCTGGATGGTAAATGTATTCCATCTGGCTTCTAATGTGCCACTAAAAACCTAGAGTCATTTATTTCATTTATTTCTAGTAAAAATAATAAATGAAATGAAATAAAACTGTAAAACTTGGATAAAACCATATCAAACTTCTTTTTTGTGTGTTTTACAGGCTTGAGAGGAGTAATAATCTTAGAATTCTTTTTAGAATGAGACTCGTCCATTTTACCCAACAGAAAAATCAACCTAAAAAATTATCACCATATATGTGTAAAAAATTCAAGTTCTCAAAAGATTAAAGTGTGTTTCCTATTATTGTGTATATATAAAGTCATTCTATACAGTAGACAGTAATAAGTAGTAAGATTAATTTAAATCAGGTTTTAGAGAGGTGACTATTACTTCTTATTATCTAAAACTGGAAGACTTGCCCAAGAATACTGATCTTTCATAGTGTCTCTTAAAGAAAAAAATAAAACCTCTTTAAACAGAATTTAAATTTTATTATCCAGTAAAAACAGTGACTCACTGCAGAGAGAACAAGAAAGAAAATGCTATTACACAGGTTTCCAACACATACGTTTATGGGATATACTGAACAACACATCTTTTACTCATGCCTCAGATGCAACTAAAACTGGGTTTAAGACCTTGTCAATTGAAAAAAAACTTATTCAAAGCACTAACTTGGCTTACTTTCCTTGCACACGTCTGTTAATTTCAGCATGGTATGGGGAAAGGGTATGTGTTCTGGAGCCAGACAAACTCCAGAGTTTCAAATCCCAGTTCTATCACTTAGCAGGTAGCCTTAGACATGATTTTTATGCTGGTGAGCCCTACAGTTTCTTCTCTACAAAAATAATGTGATAAACATATTTATTCCAAAAGTTTGTTAATTCATTAATGGAAAGCCCAATATAAAATGTCAAACACAAGGAGCAGGTTCAGTAATAATAATCCCCATCTTCACTCATAATGTGATTATAGATAAACACTTTAATTTCATTGTGAAATCATGGGATAAAAAATCAATTTGAATGGGTCATTTAAAAAAAGAAAGAGAAATCTATTTCAGCATAGCTGTTCTTGACAGAGAAGAACTTCTGTCCAGTGCCCAAGTTACTCAGTTATTTCAGATTTTATCATCTGAATGCCTAATAACTCAGATCATTAGCACTCATATTATATACCTTATTACAGTACTTATTTAGCTATCCTGAGGCTATTTTTTCTTGGGTTCTTTTAGTTTGCTGTTTTTGCTTTTACTTTCTCTTCATTTGAGGTTGGAAATGGAAAGACGAATTAAGAAAAAAAGAGAAAATAAGTGTAATCAAACCAGTCAGAAGTGCTATGTAAATAGCTCTTGCATGGTTTTATCCAGAAGGGGAAGAAATAGGGAATGATAATGTCTAGAATTAGGTTTCAGATTATCTATATTTACAAAACAGAAGTAGATTCACGGATGTAGAGAACAAATTTATGGTTACCAGAGGATAAGGGCGGGGAGGGATAAATTGGGAGATTGGGACTGACATATACACACTACTATGTATAAAATAGATAACTAATAAGGACCTGCTGTATAGCACAGGGAACTCTACTCAATGCTCTGTAATGACCTATATGGAAAAGAATCTAAAAAAGAGTGGCTATATGTATAACTGACCACCTTGGTGTACACCTGAAACTAACACAACATTGTAAATCAACTATACTCCAATAAAAGAATTTTAAAAATTAATGATCCACGCTAGAACCAGGAACAGTATCTGTGACTAACTACTGTGCAGTGATTAACCTAAATTGCATCCTGGTTAGTAACCTGGAAAAGCTAATGCTGATACAAAGATGGAATGAATTGTGGCTGAGACACCAAAAGGACCAGGAGTAGTGGACAGGGGTGTATGGTATGAGACATCAAAGCAGACCTCCTTTTTGGAGGCACTTTTTGTTCTAAATATGCACCAGTAAATATGTATCATTCATTAACACAATTTCACTTTTGTTTATATTTGCATATACAATGTCTCCCCTTGACAGGAACTTTACTGTCCTCTTGAGCTAAATTTCTATCTTTCTGGTTTTCTTGAGGTTATCTGCATATATAGAAACCATATAAGAGTTTTAATAGTTTGATACAACTATTCTTAGCTCTGTAAATTCTTACCTCTAAATCATTAAAAAATAAATGTGTATCAGCAAGATTAAAAATCATCTCCTCCATTCGGAGTCCAAGGGTTACAGCCATGGGGGGATCCTGAAAAGGAAATGCACATATAATGAAGTAAATTTTCAGTAACCACAGTTATTATTAAAATTATCTTAAGTGCATATGCCTGTAGGGGGTAAGGAGGTGGAGACTGTTTGGGTTTTTTTTTTTTTTTTTGCAGTACGCAGGCCTCTCACTGTTGTGGCCTCTCCCGTTGCGGAGCACAGGCTCCGGACGTGCAGGCTCAGCGGCCATGGCTCACGGGCCCAGCCGCTCCGCGGCATGCGGGATCTTCCCGGACCGGGGCACGAACCCGTGTCCCCTGCATCGGCAGGCGGACTCTCGACCACTGCACCACCAGGGAAGCCCTGTTTGGGTTTTTAACCTAAGATGCAAAAGATTTCCCAATTATCAGAAAAGGTGCCTTTCTAAAGGGTTATCTACAACATATTAAATATACTGCTACATCTGTGAATTTACAGGACTTTATATGCACAGAAAAATGACTTAGATACATTTTCACATAAAGCTATACGTTCATGAGTGGAGGAGGAAGGAAGCAAGCTAGTTCACAGGACCCAGTTTACATACACTCCATGGAAAGTCCTTTGGAGAAAGGTACTTGGATGGGACACTGAAGAATGGAGCAGATCTGTTACCAAGAGAAAAGGACGTCCTTTTAAGAATGACAACAAATAAGTAGAAAAGAGAGAAAAGTAGGTCTATTGGATGTTTGTAGGACGAGAGCAGATGATATCGTCTGGAGGTGGGATAGAAAGAGCTGGCAGAGCAGCTCTAACTTCATTATTAATTGTATTTTGATCAACAGGCAATATTTATCTGAATATGTGTAGAGTCTGATCTAGCCTGCATTTGACTAGGGATGAAGAGGGAAGGGTGGAGTATGGCTAAAGGAACATTAATTGAGTAAATATAATATAGAAATGTATAAAAATAAAATATATACATCTAGAAGTCTAACGAAAGTAAGGGGATTAGTAAAAAGTCAAAGTGACTTAATTTTTCTTTATAGAAACTAAGAGATTACACAGCAGCAAGGAGTTGAGAATGAAGACCAGAGTTGGTACTTTATCACAGTTAATTACAGTTGAAAGCCTGGAAGAGAGAGGTGTAAGACTTTATTTTTAAAAGTAAGACCTTTATTTTAGGGCTAGGGAAATAAGTCATGCACAAACCTTGTGTTTAAAATGATCAGAGTTGGAATATCTCTAAAGGAGAACAGCTCTGGATGTGACTCTGGAGATGAGAAAAGAGGAAACCTGGAAGGGACAAATCCTCAGAATTTGAGACCAGAATGGGTGTTGGCAGGGAGAAGAAAATGGTTTCAAATAAGGCTGACAGATCTAGACGGATACTATTGGTTTTGGCTGAGAAGTTATTTTGGAAGACCTTAGAGGGTGATTTGGGTTGAGTGGCTGGGCCAGGAGCCAGACTGTAGGGATGTGAGGAGAGAGAACAAAACTTGTGTTTTCAATGTTCTAATAAATGGCATTTCAAGAAATGTATTTAAACTTGGGGAAATGTAATGCTGACGTTACTTCAATTTATGATAAGAATATGCAACCCAGGTCAGGTCAAGCAGTATTCATAAACACCCCCGAACTTCCTCGACTTTGCAAGAAGAAGACCCTCTTTATGCCACACCTATACTGCAACAACCAATTTTTTCCCTCTGTACTTCCATAATGCTTTGAGGGGGGAAACCTTAGAGTGTAACCATGTTTGAAGTGAATGTCAGCCTCATATTCTGTAGTGATGAAAACCTACAGAATAGGAACTGAGTGCTGAGAAGGAGAGAGAGGAGAAGGTCACAGAGATGTTGAGCAAAGCTAAGACTTGATGTGGGAGAAGATGAGAGGACAATCATAGTATGTTGGGTGTCAACATAATTTTCCAACTGTTTACGTCTCTTTCTTGGAGATTTCTGTGGATTTCATAGCTAGACATTCTCTCTTCTCAAAAACAGAGACTCATGGTTCACATATTTTTAAAATTTTTATTATTTATTTTTTTTGCAGTATGCGGGCCTCTCACTGCTGTGGCCTCTCCCGCTGCGGAGCACAGGCTCCGGACGTGCAGGCCCAGCGGCCATGGCTCACGGGCCCAGCCGCTCTGTGGCATGTGGGATCTTCCCGGACCGGGGCATGAACCCGTGTCCCCTGTATCGGCAGGCAGACTCTCAACCACTGTGCCACCAGGGAAGCCCTGGTTCACATATTTGATGGCATCTCGGTGTTATGTCCTCCGGTCAGTATGACTCTATTCTAGATTCATCTGTCTTCCAGTCACAGGATCGTTTGGAGCAACGTACCCAAAGGTCAAATAAATTACATTTTATCCAACAAGTATTCATTCAAGAACGAAAACAAAAATATGAAGTGCCCATTTTGTGTCTCAAGGAGCTTCAAAACTCAGAGGGATCTCTTGTTCTGTTTTCTTCAAATATAAAATTCTTTTTTCTTATTTCTTTTTGTTGTTGCTTATGTTTTTGTTGCTGTTGCTGAAAGAAAATCTCTGGAGGTAAAAAAATTTAAAAATATACATGTGTCTTCTTCCTGTAAAAAATTCCTATTTCTAGACTCCCTCTCTCTTTGTTATGGGGGTGGGGGGTTTGAATAGGCTGAGGACACAGAAAACTTGTAAATATTCCATCTAGTCATGGAACCATGAACAAAAAGCCTACAGAAATATCAGGAAAAATCAAATGTAATTATAGCATGAAAACATATAATTCCATTAGTGATGCTCTATGCTTTTGAGGAATGTTCACTGATGCAAGACAATAAAACTGAGCTCCACAGGACTCTGTTATGTTTCTGATGATCACTGCCCTAAAGATATATATTTCAGATGGGGGTTCAGAAATGTCTTCGATAAAAGGTTTTCCTTCTTGAGACTAGATTGGTTAAAGTCTTATCATATGATATGCCAATTTTTGTTTTTCAAGTTTTAGATAAAATTCTTCAATTTCTTATGTTCATGCCTCACACTCTTTGCATTTACAGATCAGATTTACAGGGATGGGAGAAAATGTACTGTTTCTTTTTGATTGTTACTTTCATCCATGCCACGCTTCTGTAGCACGTAACTCTCTATGCTACCTAAGCAGTGATAGGAAAAACCATGAAGAATGCATTTTGTGCATCTGAGAGGCACGCAAACAAACATAATTTTTAGAAAATCAACAAGAATTCTCTAACAAAGAAGCATAGCGTATGACATGATGAAAACTGTTTTTGAGCACCCACTGGAATGCAACCCCATGGCAAAGGAAGGGGCAGTTATCTGTTTCTCGAGCTTGGCGATTCCACATCACACAGGCTCCTAGAGCCAGGACTTAGTAAGCATTTTGGCAAAACTTCATTGGTTAACCGGGGACATTTCAGTTTGAGGTTTGCCTGAGTGTGAACTGGCTGTATTTTGCTAAGGCCTGTTGAAAGGGAGGTGTTTTGTCACCTATGCCGAAGGCTTGACACAGAAGGGCTAGGAAGAGCCATGCCACAAGCCAAGAAAAGCCGTGCTTGTAAGAGGTGCTGATCTTGTTTCTAAGAGAACATCAGGTGAGGGCTTACTTTCAAATATCTGGTTTTACTTTTTTTTTCTTTTTCCAGTTTACTAAGTCACTGGGATAGCTAATTCTAAGTAAGCAAGATTCCAGCACCCCATTTTCCAGCTAAAGAACCCCCAGATGTAAGAATCCAAGAAAGATGGGCAGGAAGTTGGTGGGTGTCGCTGTCATGTTGGACACCCTCTCCCTTGCAGAGCACTGGGCAGGAGCTGCCACAGCCTGCAATCCCACGGCTTTATCAGGCATTTGAGAATTAGACATACTTCTGGATTGAAGCCAACTTTTATACAGAGATGTTTGCTCGTTTTCATTAGATGTTTGTAGAATTATGGGCACCTTACGAATCAAGGGTTATTGCCTTTCCTCAGTTTGACTGTAGTGAGTGTTGAGTTTAGGGTCTGCAATGAAGTGACAGTGAAAACTTGGATAGAGGGGAAAAGTGGGATAATAAAGTGAGTAACAGGGTTTTGTGGTAGCTCTGATACATATTATACATGCATAACAGTTCCAATCGGTTCAAAGTGCCTACAGCAGAGTTTCATATGGGGCAAACTGAACCTCTGCCAATTTAAATTGACTCTGTGTAGCGTTCTATGAAAATACTGAAACTATTCCCAAGACATTTGTTGGAGAGAGAGAGACAGACAAGAGATACAGAGACAGAAACAGAGACAGAGGGGAGATGAAGAAAATGAGTAGCTCTTGGCCCTTAACTGTATGCTTTTCAGCCGGATGTGATCAGTGTATAACCAAGTCAGGATCAAGGACAGCACTTCTCTATATCAAAATACTAATGCCTATTAGCCATGTAAGCGCAGAGCATAAATTGGAGCCAGACAGTCTGTCTATGGGCCTCTGCCCTGCACTGGGCCATCAGCTGGAATTCCTCCTCTAGGGACACACTGTAAAAATATTTCAGGAGAGGCAGCAATTATGTATTTTTAAAGAAATGGGGGACTTTTTTTTAAGAACTCAAGCTCTTGGAACAGTTACTCCCTTGGGACCTGAATCATATTTGTGGACACGTGCACACAGAGGCAGAAGATGTGCAAATTCATTACAGGAAAAGAAAGACAAACTAGCTCCACGAACCAAGGTGGAAATAGCTAGTGGGTTTGTTAGAATACCTAAACTCTTTTAATCAGCGACAAGAAATGCCATGACATTCAGTCATGAATCAGAAGGGAAATTTTACAATTGAGTTGTTTGTCTGTAATGGACAGGCAGTGGGCTTAAGCGCTCTCAGGGGGAATTGGAGAAGGGTTTTAGGAACTTTCATGTATTTATTGAGTGTCTACTATGTGTCAGACATGATCAAATTCTGGGCAGAGAGCAGAAAATTAAATAAGCAAACTCCCTGCCCTTATGGGGTTTATACTATTACTGGATGAGCCCTCTGATGAATACATGGACAAAAAACAAGGAAATATGTAGTCTTCTAGGTGGTGGAAAAAAAATC